GGACTTCCAATGCTCAGAGGATGTGGAGGATCGCTGAGCACTCAGAGCTTCACTCTGGCTAGCCTTCTAATCATTGGCGAGGCGCAGACTCGTCAGTCATTGCTCCCATGAGTAGATCCTCTTCCTAGCGCTCAGAATGTAGTTACTCTGACAGTTGGTAGCTAACCACACTGCCGGTACTTGCATGTCACTGTGCAACTGGCTTCTAACAATAACTCTCAGCATGTAACCGGGCCCTGTGTGTACTCATACACTAGACAGTTGAAATGGCTCCGTTACACTACCGCCTGAAGTAAAAGAAAAAGTATATACAACCATTGTACCATATTGTTTAGATGAACAGAAATTGAGCGATGAACAAACTAACAACACCACAGTAAAATTGAAAAGACTCAGAAAACTTCTCCATGAAACAAAATAAAGTCAATTACCTTTATACCCATTCACCATAAACCAGGATCATTACCAAAGCCAAAAAGGAAGTACTTCATGAAGGCGAGATTAAAGACCGCCGAACATCAGATTTGAAGGCGTAGGATGAGGGTTTGAGAGGTTCACTATGAGTCTGCTCGTCAGGCAGCACGGAGTTAAAGTAGGAGAGGCATAAAGGCCAGGTAGATGAGATAAGTGTGCGCTACAACCTGTTGGTGGTCTTTATCATGTTGATCTTCGAACTCGATTTCAGTAGTAAATTGTAACAGGAGCAGTCTATCTATGTATCGCTAGAATCCAATAGAATAGATGCGGCCGTGCAAGATAGAAATCAGGTACAGATTTATTCAAGATACTATCGCTAGAACTCAATAATCTTTAAGAGCTCTGCTAATGATAATGGAGGATGAAGATCAGGATAGTTGGGTGGGAATGGTCCTGGGTACTTATACTCCAAAGAACTCTATTCTCTGCTCCCACTTCCTTACCAAGTTCCGGTACTGCCTTCTAGCGGAAGGGAAGTAATACCATCGCTACCCCGCTTCTCTATAAGCGTCAGCGAGTACTTTCGATTCCGAAGGCAACCACCCTTAGTCAAAGCCTTTGTAACACCTGCAGCCTTTGTTGCCACACAACTGGGGCCTGCATTAATGAGCTGCCACTCAGGTGTAAGCTTAATCATTGCTGTAGAGTTTTCGCTTATTGTAGACTTCCTAGGCATAGTCCCTACCGGCGGACTTCCTATGCTCAGAGGGTGTAGAGGATCGCCGAGCACTGAGAGCTTCACTCTTGCTGGCATTCTAATCATTGGCGAGGCACAGACTCGTCAGTCACTGCTCTCATGAGTAGATCCTCTTCCTAGCGCTCAGAATGTAGTTACTCTGACAGCTGGTAGCTAACCACACTGCCGGTACTTGCATGTCAGTGTGCAACTGGCTTCTAACAATAACTCTCAGCATGCAACCGGGCTCTATGTGTACTCATACACCAGACAGTTGAAAATGTCTCCGTTACATTTTACTATTACTATCCCACTTTGCCTCTCATAAGAAATAGTCGCTATACCCGAATATCGACAGGTAGATTACTAGTTGAAAAAAAAATTTGAAAAGATACACTCAAATTTCTTTAAAACAGATCATTGAAGCCTCAAGTCAGTGTCATATTATCAGTAGATTTTTACAAGTTAAGATACTCCTTAAAGTTATTAAGTTCCTGGATTCAAACATTTACTATCAAAACTTTATTTTTTGAAACAATTCCCTATTGAATACTTTTCCTTCTCTCTACTATACTCTATACAAACACTGAGTTGCGGTCGAGCCTCTTCATAGCCTTTCCATTACAAATCCATTATTGTTATAACGGAGTCATATCAACTGTCTGGTGTATCAATACACACTGGGTAGGGTTTCATTTTGACAGTTGTTATTAGAAGTCAGTTGTACAGCGACATGCAATTTTGGCAGTGGGTTAGCTACCAGCTGTCGAGTAACTATATTTTTAGAGTTAGGAATAGGATCTATTCATAGAAGTAGTAACTGATGAGTCAATGTCTCGTCAATGATTTACTAACCTGGCAGAGTGCAGTCATAAGTGGGTGGTGACGTTGTGTAATATTTGAGCATTCAGGTCCATTGGCACCGGTATAGGGAGACATTACGCCTGGTAAAAATACACTAAGGGAGAGCTCTAGAGCAAAAATTAACTTGAAGATTAAACTTGAGTAGCAGCTCATTCATTCAGGCTCTCAGTTGTTTGACAACCAAAGTCGAAGGTGTTAAAATGGCTTTGATAAAATAAAGTTGCCTTCAGAACTGGAAGCCCCTGTTGACGCTTAGAAGTAAATAGTATAGTGGTTGTATTACTGCACTTCCGATGGATGCTCTTGCCAGAATTCAGTAAGGAAATAGAATCAGAGTATGGAGTTTTTCCAAGTATAGGAATTTAGAGTTCCTCTTGCCTAAATGTTCTGTTTCTTCAGTCACTATCAGAACTAGCAGTGTATTACCCGATAGCAGAGCCTTCAAAGATTTTTGAGTTCTGGCGATGAAATCTTTCTATTCGTTTTCGCGGTAATTGGAACAACTGTCCCAATGACAGTGTTTGAAATATTGCACAGGTGGGTTGTGGTCCACTTGCAATTGGCTCGTATTCAAAAATTTTGTAGATAAGAGTATACGGGTTTACAATAAATATCTGTAGGATATCATGCAGTAAGAATGTATTGCAGTTCGAACCACCCTAACTCATACAAAAATTTGGTTTACACTAGTGATTAGTTCATAATAACGACGCTCAGCTTGAAACTCCGGAGTTAGTAACAGGCCCCTAGTGTAGGTAGGATATGCTAAGCCGACAAGTATAGAAGGAGAAACACAGGCGCATTTTGACAGTTTTCTCCCTAGTACCCCTTTCAGCTGACATATCCGCTTATGGAATTGTTGAATAATAATAATAATAACAACAATGTAATAATAAATAAAATAATAGTAATAGTATTATATTAATGACGGTGGACCTCGGCGCCGCGCTGTGATTACTCATCTACACTGCGCACACACACTCCCAGTCGTGTTCCTGGATCCTGATCATGACCTCCATCACCACCAAACACCAAACCACACCACACCAATGACTATTAATGACGGCCACCACCATCATCATGGCGCTCGCAGGTCCTGCGCCCCCCCATCAGCTAAAGCTCAACATCGGAAAACACCGATTCTCTGACTCCCCCGCTCCCACTCGAGCTCATGCTCGTCGTCGGAGAGCAAGCTAGCACTCAGACTCTCTCCGTGCTCTCCCGCACCTCCCACACTCTCTACACTCTCCTCGCGCTATAGCCCCAGAGGAGATTCAACGCCAACGTTGTGGGCATCACCACCTGGGCGGCCGACTCCACCCGCCCCCGACTCCTTGAACGCGCCATCACCATTTCTCTCGGTCCCGGCTCTCCTGTTGCCGCCGCCCACCGGGACCGCCTCCGCGACACTCTCAGCCGGCGCCTCTCCCGAATATTCTCCCTGCCCGTGAAGCATAAGGCGGCCGAGACCGTCAAGGTGCTGATGTCCCACCACAGCAGGCCCTTCGCCCCGACCGCGGTGCGTCCCAGGAATCGGCTGCCCGGGAACCGTCCTACCAGTATTAGGCCCCCAACTACCCGTCCCATCACTCGGCCCCGGAGATGGTTGATCGACAAAGCATGTACTCCTTCATGGGTGGAGCATGCGGTGCGCCAAGGGGATCTGTGGCTGGCACGGTGGCTCCTGGAAGTGGCGGGTGCGGAGGTGCATGCGAGCGCGGTGAAGGTATAGGGAAGCTGGGCGCAGACGCTATCAGACGTAGCCAGGGATCGCAGATATGAGAGGCCAAGGGCGAAGCATGTGGAGGAGATTATCCAACTGTTGATAGCCCATGACCTGAAGCCGAGCACTCCCTGCTATGCCAGCATCCGGCCAGAGAACCAGCAGCGCTTGGAGGAGATGCTGAAGGTGTCTGACGACGAGAGCGCGGTCCTGGATGCTTGGGTATCTCAGGAGCTGGAGGGGTATGTCAACTTTCCATGGGAACGATCGGCTGAGTGTTGGAATGCGCATATGACCACCGCGTCGAGAGTGGTGGGGCCGTGATGCCGGTTGTGGAGAGGGATAGGAGGAAGCCCGTATATCAATTACAGGCTGGTGCCGGAGACATACATGTGAGGTGGTTGCTCTGCATGCCCGCCCGCCGCAGTGGATAAACATGTTTGTATTTTATCTCGGAGCTCGTGAGGTTTTGTTCTTTCTGTTCTCTGGGCAAAATAACTGGCCGAGGAATGTATGGATTTCAATACCGAGCAGTATTGACTTCCGGCCGCTGCAAGGGCCAGAGGTACTGAACAGGGAGTGAACGAGGCTCTTTATCCCTTGATTGCACGCTTCTCATCTGCCCGGGAGTCTCTAGGCTTTGTTTTAGCTCCTCACCCCGCGGTGAGCTCTTGACGTTGCTTGCCAACCATGAAAGCACTAGATATAATCCTGTGTAATCCTCGAGTGCAATGACGACTTACCGTACACTAACACATAATTGTCCAGTCATGGTCCTGGACAACCCCGTTCCGGTCATACTGGGGATATTGTTTATCGGGGGAGATAAGAGAGTTGACTGCGCAAGTCAGGAATATTTGCGGATAAGCTGAAGTATCCCTAGATTGACTGACTTCCCAGGTTGCCGGTCGGGTGAAGAATATCGTCAGATCAACTCACTTATTCCTGACTTTACTGACCTAGCTGGATGCCCATATTCTCGTGGTGGAAGTGATAAGTTCGAGTAATGGTTTGCGATGCACTTCCGGAATGCAAGAACTTAAATAATAGTTGCCGGATAAACAACCACTCATAGCTCTGAACTACATATGAGTTTCTTAAAGATGCCCGGGTAATAATTATTCATTTGTATATGTTCTGACCCAATTGAGGACGCTACCCGCCGGCCTGGTGTCGTCATGTGGCCTGACCCGTTCATAGACAGATAGTTGCATACAGCCTATTCGCAGTTATCACAGAAAATACCTGACCATATCGCAAACAATATAGAACACTGAGGGTTTGCCACCCTCAAACATATGTATACCCCATTTTTAGCAATGTACTAAAAAAACTTAGTTTATTCAGCCGTTAATTAAAAGCTCAGAAGTACTATTAATGCGAGTTGTCAAAAATAATGGGACGCAAAGCGCCAATGAACACGGCAACGACTACTGCAACTCCGATACTAAAAAATGACAATAAGAATAAGGATATGTTAAGGAAACGTTGAAAAATAGTGAGTAGAGTAGCGGCTGATCCACGATTTACCATCTTGCTGGTCGGATTGGTCCGAACTGTCGGGTGTGGGGCCTGCTACATACTCCGTACTCGTTTAGTCAAGTATTACTCTTGGTCACTGTTCACTTTATTTCCTGTGTTAAACCCATGTCCCATTGCGGCGGCTCGTGGTGCTATCCCTTCGTCTGTCGGAAAATGCTGCCACCCAAGAAAAAGCAAATCTGGCGTGGCTTTACTACCGCAAAATCTCAGGAATAACGAATCAAACTAGACTGGAATACTTTGCTTCGGATTGGTCAAATGCTTGTTGAGCCACAATCCGACAGACCTAAAGCGTAACTTTTGGTCGTATTGACCAATGGGTAAGTGGTATTCTAGCCTAGTTCGATTCGTTATTCCTGAGATTCTGCAGTAACAGATCTCGTTATCTCTCTTATCAGATAACATATCTCCATACAAATTTAAATTCTCTATTATAATGTGGGCAGCATCGTCAGACGATGGGATACTTACCCCCTACATAGAAGCTTCTAATAAACCTACTGGCTGCTCTCCCGAGTCAGTTGATGGGGCTCTATCGCGCTTGCAAGCGGAGAAATGATATTACTCAGCCTGTGGCGGAAATTCTGACCCACCCAAAAAAAAGCAAAATCTGTGTGGCTTTACCAACAGATCTCGTTATCTTTCTTATCAAATAATAGATCTCTCAAACAAGTCCAATTGTTATTGCAGCATTTAATTCCATAATAGTGCTGCAGCAGCGACCGGCGAGAGAAGTTTCAGGCAAGCCATTAAGGGGATACAACAAGGCTCCAGTGACATAAGGTTAGGCCCGCCGTCTCGAAAACGCGGCAGGCAGGACAACAAAAGACACCCACTACAGCAAACAGCAAATACCGCCCAAGAGATGGAGATCGAACGTAAGTGAAGCCACAGCTGTCATCAGGCTTACTTATTAACGGAAATAGTGAAAGATCGCGAGAAAACGTTGAAGTGGTTTTCATGTTCTTCCTTTGAAACCGAGTTACGGGAGTTTGTTAAAAAATGGGTCCCTGAAACATGCAAATGGGTAGGCACGCATCAAGAGTACAAGAAGTGGGATGATACCAGTGCGGGCGCCCCTCAATTTCTGTGGATATTCGGGAAGCCTGGCTGTGGAAAAACATTTCTCTCACATGTAAATCCCCGCATCTATTACCGGTCGGACAATGTTGGAAGAAGACTCTAATGAGAAAACAGTCTATTAGGCAGAGGCTGTCACAAGAGGGTGGTATTGTTCTATACTTTTACTTCAACTCAAAACAAAACGACAGCGGGAAACAGTCGGCCAATGCATTCTACCAAACTATTATATATCAACTTCTCAAAGCTCTTGAAGGCACAGCTACATCTGCCGAGTGCTACTCGGTTGCACATGAGTTGAGGAGGTAGGCTACTTCGAACCCTGTCGACAAAAAACATGTGAGCTCATGATGCCTTCATTTAGGAATACCGGAGCCAATACTTCGATCACCAACGAAAGACTTCTCAGCACTCTAAAGGACATCCTACTAAAAATCGGCACGAGGGTCAATATCGTAATTGACGCTCTAGACGAGTGCAAGGAGGACAACCAGGAGTTTGTGGAAAGCAGCGTTTCATTGTGCCGCGATATACCCTCCCTCAAGGTCGTGATTACAAGCAGGCCGGAACTGAATATAGTTGATCGTTTCACGAAGATATCGTCGGAAATTAATATTCGGCTCGACTTCTCCAAAACGGAGTCCAATCATGATATTGATCTCTATATCGAGCAACGTCTCCAGAATTCTAAAACGTTGGGTGACAAAATGTTTCCGGAAATGACAAAAGAGATAAGGGAGAAGCTCCGCAAGAAAGCTGGTGTGAGTAACCAAATTCCAAATTATATCCGCCCACGGTATGTACCGTTCTATCCGGTGGGGCTAACATACAAGATGGATTACAGGGCCTGTTTCTCTATGTAAGGCTCATGCTCGATCTCCTAGAACAGCAAGCCACAGAAGAAGGCATACGGAATGGATTGGAAAGTCTACCGGAGACTCTAGTTGGCATCTACCAGAACATCATCCAAAAGATAGAGAAGAATGCCTCCAAAGATTTAGGCGAGATGGCAAGGCGTGTTCTTCGTTGGGTGGCTGCGGCACAGCGACCACTGACTATCGACGGGCTTATGATGGCGCTTAGGGCTGAGAAACTGAAGGCCAAGGAGAACCCAACAATCAGTGATCTAGGCCCCTTCATACCAAATTACCGCGAACGGCTTTGGCAGATTTGCTTTCCACTTCTGGAAGTCCTTGAGGATGATACAGTACAGGTGATTCATGTATCGTTGAAGCAATACCTACTAGGTCAAAATATCTCCGGACAGGAACCGGTAACTACTACAGGCGGAGATCGTGGTTACTTCCGATATAACCCCCCGAGGAGCATCTCGAGCTAGCTCTCACATGTGTTGCTTATTTATCGGTCCAGAAATTGAAGCCGATTGGTCTTTCAGAGATCGAAAGTGATGGGAACGTGAATAAACCCGAGGTGGGATTGATTGATCTCCTCCGTCGCATCCCATCACATGAGCTAACTAATGAGGAAGTCGGAGTTCTTTGTGTACGCAACTCTCGAATGGACCGGTCATTGCCTAGCGTCAGAGGATGGTTCCTCCCGGGAGCAGAGTGCGAGACTCTTGAAGTACTTTCAGGGACCGGATCAACTGAAAAGCTGGACTGAAGACCGCGCAGCCTTTGATGAAAGATTTGCCGTCTACTTTCACTTAGGAATTGGCACGGGAGGTCTGATAACCGGTAATTGAACACTCCGTCCATTGCCAATATACACTTCTTCATTTATCTAACATGCAACCTCCTTAGGTAATCTCCCAAATCTAATCCACATCTGTGCATACTTTGGATTAGCCACAATGTCGGGAGGGTTGATCACTCAAGACAAGGGTGAACTTGATCGCCGAGATACTACCGGTAGGACGCCGCTCCACATTGCCGCCGAGAGAAATTGGGCGACCCTAGTCGATTTTTATATCGAACAAGCGCTGCAGGCACGGGGACAACAAACATATAACTACAATTACGGGAATTATACCACCACATATGGTCCGTTAGTGGAGTCCAAGGATAATAGCGGGAAGACTGCTCTTCATCGTGCCGCTGCCAGGGGGAACCGTCTCCCCGTGATTAGCCTACGCAAAGCTGGATACAGTGCCGACTCTCCCGATAATCTGCTCCAAACTCCTCTTTTACTCGCGGCGCTATCAGGAGAAAAGGACGTTGTTCTTGAATTATGGAATTCAGATAAATCCCTAAGTTGCGCGAGTAAATCCGGAGTTACACCGCTTGATTGTCTCATAATGCATGGGCATGAGGAGACACTTAAAAGCTTACTTACGTCAGGTAAACTAGTGTCGGAAGTCTTGCTTAAATCTTCACCCTCGGCCTTTATCACTGCGGCACGTAAGGGCTTGCTCGGTGTGGTTGATCTCTTACTACACGCAAAGATCGACGTCAATTCCAGAGATAACATGCAACAAACGGCCCTGCATAGAGCAGCAACATGGGGGCACACCGAGGTGGTTGAATTACTTCTTCGGCCAGAGTGGGGGACGGGTATCGATGCAGAAGACCAATCCAACAGAACCCCGCTCTATTTCGCCGCGGCAGGAGGGCATATAGCTATTGTGAAGTGCCTTATACAGGCTGGAGCCAACGTGAATGCCCTCGATAGACGCAATCAAACAATTCTCTTCGAACCGGCCGGGAGAGGGCACACGCCAGTTGTAAAGGAACTACTAGGCGCCGGGGTTCGCGCTGAACAAGTGGATCATTGGAAGCGTTCAGCCCTCCATTGGGCTTCAAAATATGGCCGTAAGGAGGTGGTAGAGCTGCTGCTAAATTCCGGGGCGGATCTGCACGGAGAGCAAAGGGAGAAGGAAACACCACTACACTGGGCTGCACAGAACGGACAGGATACGATGATTGAGCAGCTCATAAACGCCGGGGCCAACGTTGAAGTAGGAGATGAGCAAGGGCGAACACCACTTCATCACGGCGCGTGGCGGGGGATGCAAGCTTCCGTGTACGCTCTTCTGAAACACGTATCCGCACCGGACGTTGTCGACCATAATGGGCGTACACCTCTGTACTGGGGAGCGGTATCTGGAGATTCGGGTGTCGTACAGACACTGCTCGATGCCAACGCAAACATCACGGCCGGGGATACGCGGGGCGTAACACCTCTGCATATGGCCGCTCGCTACGGACATGACGCACTTTTAAAGCGTTTTATAGATACCCAAGCTAACCTGGACGTGAGAGACAATAAAAATGCAACTCCACTACACTTTGCAGCTCAAGCAGGGAAGCAGAACGCGACCCGGCTCCTGCTTGATGCCGGTGCATCTCCCATAGCTGCAGACTTCAAAAAGCGGACACCCACGTGGAATCAAACCAAGAAAAATGACGAAGCACATAGTATGGTTTCTGTACTGAATGAGGCCAAGGAAAATGCAGAGTCGAAATATCTTTCGCAGCTCCCGGGCATACATGAGGCTGCGAGGAAGGGCGAAGATACCACTATCCGGAATCTCATCACTAGAGGAACAAATATCGATGCAAAGGATGCTCGTGGGCGGTCGGCTCTGCACTGGGCCGCTCTCAGAGGTCATAACGTAGTATTCTTACGCCTCGTCCTCGCTGCCGGGGCCAACATTGAACTTTCCGATGACTCAGGGCAAACGGCGATTCATCTAGGTGTCAAAAATCATCACCCAGCAGTAGTACGACAGTGCCTGGTAGATGGCGCTGATGTGATGGTAAAGGACTCCTGTGGGCAGATTCCATTGCACTTAGCTGTGGAGGGAGGACAGGGGGAGATTGTAACACAACTACTCGAATCCACAGGCTCCCAAGCGGGTGTAAACGTTGCAGACAACTGGACCCGAACACCATTGCACTTTGCGGCGGAGGGTAGATGGAAAGCAATTCTCGTGCGGCTCCTGGCGTGCGATGCCTCTACCATAAATAGTGGCGATTATAAGGGTCAAACACCTCTTCATCGGGCAGCACGTAAGGGATACCACGACATCATTGAGGAACTACTCAAGGCCGGGGCGAAGCTTGATGTAACTGATACCAATGAGCGAACGGCTTTGCATCTGGCAGCGAAATACGGATACCCTACTGTGGTCGAGAAGCTCCTAGCGGCAGGGGCCAACATAGCTACAAAGGATAAAAGTGGCAGAACAGCGCTCTATCTAGCAGCCGGAAATGGTCACGAGAGTGTAGTGGATGTCCTCCTCAAATCCCGCTCGCGGGTCAACGTCAGAGACAGCGTCAACGTCAAAGACAGCGAAAACATTACGCCTCTCCAATGCACGGCGGAAAAGGGATGGGCAGGTGTGGCAAAACGTCTTTTGAAAGCTGGGGCGGACGTGTCAACTCAAGATGGTCTTGAAAGAACCGCCCTTCATCTTGCCGCCCAGAACAGCCACAAAGGAACGGTCGATGTCTTGGTAGATGCTGGGGCGGGCGTTGATATTAAAGACTATTGGCAGAATACACCACTGTGCTGGGCTTCAAAGAATGGGCACTATGCGATCGCCGTGAAGCTGCTGGGCGCAGGTGCCAAGACTAGTGTCGTCGGTGATGCGCAGGATACACCTCTGCATTCAGCGGTCCAAAATGACCATGGAGAAATAGTCAAGTTATTAATAGGTGCTGGGGCGGACCCTGACGCTACACTTCATAACACGGGGGAAACACCTCTTCACATGGCGGTCAAGAATGGTAACCTGGTAGTGACGAGGTACTTACTTGATTCCTGTGCCGATGTTAGAGCACTGGATGCTTCTCTGGAAACACCGCTGCACCATGCAGCCCGCGAGGGTCATGCTGGTGCTGCGAGGCTGTTGCTAGAGTGTGGCGCGGATATAGAGGCACGGAATGCCGAAGGCAAAACACCAGCTGATATTGCAAAACTATCACAGCGAACCAAAGTCATGGAATTATTTGTCCGGTTCAATTCGTGACGGGCAACTGCAGATGAAACAGGCCGGATACAGCGGGATTTGAGGTATACTGGAGAGCTGGAAAATGTCAAGGGGTTGATCTGTCTCTGTTTTTCTTTCTTTTGTAGCTTATGTGGTTATATTTCTTTTCATTATTTGAGTTGGAGGTGAAGGGGACCTTTGTAGGAGACTGTGACAGACAGATGATAAGTGATCGCAGGTTCCTCATCTCTCATATGCAGCATGCCGGAATTGAAGAAGGGAAACGATATTTATCAACCAATTGTAATTCTTCCCTTTCTGATGATGTGGTATGAACAGGAATACATATGGGTATGCTACACAAGTACATCCCACTCTCCCACTTAGATCCCCTCTAAGCCCCGGCCTAGTGCGTCGTCAAACCATCCCACCCCCACCTAACGGCTAGTCAAACCCGCTGTAGCCTTCCCTCCGGAGATGACCTCACTCTGAGCTCAGCCTTCCGTTGCAATTGCGTGTTGTATGTAGTGTTTAGAAATTCTCACTGATTCCGGCCAACGGGTGGCTATCTTCGTTGACATTGTCAAAGTTCCAGTACTTGCGTTATAGAAGCTAAAGCCTATTGACAAGGTCCTCACATCGGCGCACTGGCGTTTGATCGCACATGTATTATCTCTCCTCGTGCCTCAACTCGCGGTACTGCTCTACCACTCAATGAAGATTCCCGGCCCATGAAGATTTCTGGGCAGACTGGACCATGCTTGTATTTACACAGGAGTATGGTAATATATACATGATTCAAGTCGAGACTGCGCTGACCATGAATCAAGGACACAGGTACTCAATATCCGGCTACTTTTCCATCAGCCTGTGTTTAAAGAGGAGCTACTATACTTTTAGTTCAAATTCCCACTCCCCCATCAGCAGTGCGGTCCACCAAGCAGGTTCAACAATATCTTCGACGTGCATCGAGTCAAATGGAAGCTGATGTAGTGGAGCAGAATAACTGTACTGAAAGTACAAACCATATATATATCCTTAATTCTATTCTATTGATCATATCGTCTTTTGAAGTGCCCAAGGTTACCAGGGTTAGGGTTTCCTTGAACCAGGCCTAGATTAAGTCCAACACTTGATGGTGTCTTGCCGAATGTTATTCAAAGGAGAACATGTTGAGGAAAATCCACAGATAATGGGGTGTGCTGGCATGTAGTCCCTCGGTAGTTAGTGGATGCGTAGAGTTAAACTTCTGCGGGATAGGCTAGATATTCGGACCCGTAACCTAATGGGGTTGATGCTGATACAGTCTGCATGTTTCGTTTCCTCATCTGGTGTTTATGCTCTGCCCGGGGAAGCTTAGCGTTATAGATGTTCCTTGTTTTGGAGGCGTAGCTCAACGCCCGGCATATCGGTATTTAACCTAGGCGCTACGTTGTAGAACGAGTTACCGCAAGGTTCATTGGGGCGTGGAGGCTCCCATTCACATTTGGTTAGTACTACTCTACTTGAAAGTCCCTTCTAGTACATAGTGATGCCCGCTTCCCCTCCATCCTTGTCCATCGCTCGATCTTATTGCATCCGCGGAGTGTTTCTTGTGGTGTTTGCCTTCCTCATCTCCGATCTTATTAGAGACCTACCTCTGCCTCTGGGATGTAGTATAGGCTTATCGGCCACCAGTATCAGCTTATCAAAATGAATTATTTCGTTCGTTTCCCACCAACAAAACTTTGAGAAATGGGTCTGTTCGTTCATTCCTCGTGAACGCAGATAGAAGAGAACAAAAAGGTTCATTTCCACAGCCAAGCTGCCTTTTCCAATAACTCCTAATGCTTTGCCTACGCCTTTTTTGGTTGCTATATTCTTCTAGTCTGCAGTTAAATCAAGAAGTAGCTTTTCTTATTCCCCTTCTGAGGTTGATTCACTCTGATATAATAATGATATAGATCAGTTTAGTATTTTAATCATCAATAGTGCAAATGATAAGACGTCGACTGTAATCGCAGTCTCCAAGGCTAAACAACGAACCTCAATCACCCTTAACCCACGTTCGTAGTTGTTAGAGGTTGTGATCATGATATTAACTAATATATATTCAGAGCTATCCATTTTGGCTTAAAGCTCATTTCCTGATTCACTTCTACATATCAAAAAGATTTATTTCAGGGAAAATCAGGACAATTTTCCGAGCACGTTCCTGATTCATTAGACATACCTTAAACGTTTTAGCTGGTAGAGCTAGTGCTTTACTCCAATACCGGAATATCTTCGATTGATTTCCCAACCTGTGGCCTACGTTACCACCTCACACCGGCAACCTCGGAATCACCAAACAAGTGAATACGATACCAGCATCTGCGATCATAACAGAACTTCTTGGTTCTGATCATACTACTCATTCCGAGCTACCACTTCCACCTGTTTTTAGGTCTCCAATTATACGACTTTGTTGTGGTGTGAAGTCGAGGTTACGGTGAGGCATTTTTTGGTAAAGGTGAGTGACAGATTGTGACTGGAAGCGGGAAAAAGACCTACGGACACCCTCGCGTCCCCTGTCCAAATGTTTCGGGTCATTCCGACACTCAGAAGGCTTATAATCTTTCTGCACATTTCATACTAGAGATTGAGGTAAACGAACATTAAAGACAGATAAGAATACTACACGCTGGCGGATTGCGGTTCCTGAAATAAAATGGACCGAGCACTCTGTCCTCCGCCTTTGCACCCCTGGCGACACCCCAAGAAGCTATCCTCAGATAATCAGGCAACTCGTTCACTCCCCCACTTTCTCACACACCCCCATATTCCCCTCCAGCTACACCGACTCGGCCAGGGCTCTCAATGGGTCCAGCGGGATCCGAAAACTGCTTCGACCTGGCCCGACCTGCAACAAAAGAAATCCAGGATCCAACCCAGCGTGAGGTACCCAGGCTTGTAAACTTTACCAGGGTCAGAAAATAAAGGTCCCGGGCTTAGCTCTTTATTGTCAAGACATTCTACTTTACAAATCTATTCTCTTCGCAGCACGCTCCTATGTCTTTAAGCATTTAGTAGTATCTATACAGACTGCTGACATGCGGTGTCGCAAGTCAGACAATGTTCCTTTCGCCCCAGAGTATACCCTTTCTGGCTCAGCAGATATAACAGGAATTGAATGAATATTGATAGACTATTTTGAAACAATTGGGTAAGTAGCCTGCTGCCGTTCTTCTAGCCACCTTTTTTTTTTTTTTTTTATCATGTAGTTTTAATTGATTCTAGGTACAAAACTCTGCATGCAGTCTTAGACTATGGCATAAAAATACCTCTCCCCGACTTAGAAACTGAAATTCACGACCCCAGATGAACAAAGGAAAAAAATGAGAAAAGCAGGACGCAAAACAAACTAACAAACTGACTTAGTGACTGCAAGGAAAAACTGACGCTTTGGCGGCCCATATCCGACATAAGAAATCTTCCTGCTGGTTTCAAATAACCTGTTGCCCCTTGAGGGTCTTTTGTGGGTGTGGAGTGCCCTGATTTGGGTTGGCTTTTGTAGTGGCTAGGTGGTGGAGGGGGGAGAGCTGAGGGCACTTGATGTCTCAGATCCGGAAAGGAGGGGGGAGATGTGTTCCTTTCTGGGGAAGTTCGTTTTGGTGGCGGTGATGAAGGCTCCTAGAGCTAGCGTGTTGGTGTGGTTACTCCAGATCTCCTCGAGGGTTTTGATTCCTGGGAGGAGTTGGGCGCGTTGGGTTGCTTTCGCTCGGCAGAGGAGGATGGCGTGTTCGGTGGTTTCAGGGGCTTCGCCGCATCTGTCGCACTTTTCGGAGAGGTGGAGGTTGAGCCAAGATTTGTGGCCTCTGAGGTAGCTTTTTTGGGCTCTCATTTGGTGGATTCGAGTAGCCGTGAATTTATGTAGGTCCATGAAGGGGTCAGGGCTTGTGGTGAGGGGGAAGGAGTAGTAGGGGGGTGTTGGGAAGTCGTGTGCCCAATTGTCTAGCATTTGTTGTTTTGCTAGCTTTGGGAGGAGTTTGTGATCTGTTCCTCTTGTGACTGGATGTTGGAGGAGGTGGCAGAGATGTTCGATGGGGAGGTGGGCCACTCCCTTTGTTGCCGTGGAGTTCCACTTCTTAGGTGGGTTGGGGCGGCCGCGGAGGAGGGTTGTGTGGGAGGGGACCCTGTCGGGGGTCAGTGTGGGGAAGGAGGGGTGGCAGCGCCCTGTCACTGGATTGTTGAGGGGGTGGGCGAGAAGGACGCGGATGGCGAACTTTGTTTTCAGGTAGTGGATATAGTTGATGAGTGGGGGGCAGTGTGCCTCGGCCCAGAGGACGCGTTGGTTGGTTGCCCTGAAGCAGCCGGTGGCCCATCTGAGGACTGAGTTCCAGAATTTATTCATCGCCTTGATGGAGCTGGTGGGTGTTAGGACGGATGCGCCGTATGTGAGCATTGGGCGGATGGCAAGCAGGGCGATTTTCCTGCAGTTGGATGAGGAGAGGCCGTTCTTCTAGCCACCACCTACGCTATTGATAGATTAGTCTCTGTATTAGTAACTTTCATACCCACAGAGAGATAGGAGTTCACCTCAATGCATCTTTGACAATACGATCAGGTTGAGTATTGGAACAGTAATACTCATACAAATCCACAAGACCATGTTCTTGAGGGTGACCAATACCATTCCCTACAACCATCCATTCTTCAAATGAATGTACCTCTTCTTCCTCCTGCCAACGTCCACTGGTGTATATGGAATTGGTGCTCAATACTATTTCCAAGAATTCTTCAAGCTCTGTTGACCATCCCTAACCGACTAAATTTTCAAAATATCTCCACTTCAGCCTCGGGTGTAATACAACAGCTGCTTGTAACGGCGTCTTGGCAATATAGTTGGATGTTGTATTTGTGCGTAAAGGGGAAGCACTTGGCAACGGGTGTGCATTTGTAATAAAGGTTTTCCTTCATGTTCTACTATCCCTTCGTCTGGCAAAAAGTGCTGACCTCCCCCAAAAAAGCAAAATTTTGTGTGGCTTTACTAACAGATCCTGTTATCTCTCTTATGAAAC